AGTTTAATTAATTTTTAAGAAATTTGCGCAAGCTTTGAAACTTTTATTCATGCATTTTCTGTTAGAGATTGCATTATATGTTAAATGAAAATTATTAAAAATAAATAAATAAATATAATTGGTTGAGAGCAGGTGTAAGTATGTATGAGTGTAAATAAATTCATTTCTTCGGGGTCTCCATGCTGAAAATTCAGTTATTTTTCGGATGCGCCTAATTACCGGTTAAAAGTAAAAGCTAAACAAATTACGTATTTATTTATTGCTTAAAATAGCACTGTAAAGAATATTTCAAGTTTTGAAATGACACAAAAACGCCGAAACACATAAACTTAATTGTAGGTCTAGACCAGGTAATTTTTGCAAAATATTTTCATTTTAAGTTTGTATTGTGAATGAAAAAATGCGCACTTTAACAGAGGAAAAAATTTAAAAATAAAACATTTTTTGTAAATTATTTTGATTTCAGTTATACTATGATTTTAAAAAAGCAGAATGATTTGTTCATACTTCAGAGACCAAAAGCAATAACAAAATACATGTAAATGTTACTTTTGCTCTGATGCTTTGGTGGAATTGGAGCCCTGACAAAGCCAAGCAAACAGGAAAGGAGTAAAGTACCGAGCACGGAACGCATATCGGATTCAAAATATCAGAAATAAGGGCAGCTGGAAAGCCTTTTCTTTGACTAATTTGGCCGACTGAGTCATTATTACATATAATATATAAGTATTATAATCTACCTGAATAATAAGCGTATTTAATTTATGACTTAAAAACATAAATTTTTTTGTTGATTTCCATGGTTCGAGATTGGATAAAAATCCATGTTGCCTAGTGTATTGACATGCATATCAGTTAGCAATTTTACTGTTGTTTATACAAATACACAAACTTCTATACATATACATATGTTTATACCTATGTACATATGAGCATAAACGAATCTATGGTCGTATATGTCAATTTTTTGCTTTGCAATTTTCAAATGTTGACGGCTGAATTGTCCGACAGAATGTGAATATTAATTAGTATTTATAATATTTTTTTTTAGCGCACGTTTTACGCAGGTGAGTAGCACGGTAGCATCGAAAAATTTACCAACATACATACATATGTACATATTTACGTCTATACATATGTATGTATGCATATGAAAATGTCTATGCGTACAAATTGTTGATATTCATGGAAGGCACCAACACAAGGTAGGTGGGGGGCTAGAATTGGCATTTACGAGGGGTGCCGTTTGTCAATTAACAAGTGTATTGCTTTAGTACACGTACTAAGCTAAAGAGGTGCGACGCACCAATTTGCTGTCAATGGCCGCGCCATTGGTCATTTACATTTGCATTTTTTGTGCGCAAATTTTTAATGGCAATTGGAAAAATTCTAGATAAATGCATATGTTTGTACCTACAAATGTACATAAAAAAGTACATATAGATATTTTGTTAATTTGTTATGCAAAATGAGATTTATTATTAAAGGTGAAGAGAATATATTTACATACACATACATACATACATACGTGCGTGTGTAAATATGTGCATACTTATGTATAAACAAATGTTTGTTGTCTGTGTCTGACCGAATTATTTATTACCAGGAATTCCGTAAAATAAACCTAAAAACAAGGATACATGCATTTATAATATTAGTTTACTGTTTTGAGTTTTATATGCTGTGTTTATTTATTTTTACTGGGTAGAAATATTCTTTTATTTGTAGGCTTTTTATTACTTTTGTTATCTTCAAAATACATATAGTACGCTGTATACATATTTATGTCTATAATTTGTCTACACTGAGATATGTGGCGTTTAAGGTCTCACGATTTATCGTAGCTTAGTTACATAACTATGTACATATGTACACTAGGGGGGGGGGGTCCAAAAATGAGCCTAATCAGGTGAAGCGGGATGCAATAGATTCGTAAAATTCAATGTTTAATTTTTCCAAATATGCCCGGAAGAGAAGCTCGGCCAAGAGCTTAAAAAAATTAGTATTTAGTTTTAAAAATAAAAATATACGATTTTTTTAACCTGAAATCAATTTTAGTCAAGAGTTCCTGTTTTATTTTTGTTTAGCTTCACCGATTCATCATTTGAATTCGCGAATTTTATTCAATCATAAGTTTTACTGTTAGATAAATTTTAATAATCTTTTTAACAGGCTTAATTATGATTAATCTATTAGAATTTCGTTTTCTCTTTCGTAATCTCATCTACTAATCAATTATTTCTGTTAATTACCATAATTACTACACCTTAACGCCTTACTGAAAGTAATTTAAAAAAAAAAAAAAATCACCAAATAAGTGCATTCAATTAATTCAAAGTTAAGCTTATCTACATAAACAATAAATTCTAGCGCCAGATATGCTATAATACCCTGCAATTTCAATTACTACTACCATCCACCACGAATACTAAATCATTACTAAATCGTGTTTAGAGCAAAAAATCGGATCTTTTACGGACACGTGTTCACGATTTAATTTTTGTCTATACATTTTTGAAGTTTGAAAGTAATTTTAGTGTTGAGTATTTATTTAATTTATATTTAATATTTATTGCATATATAATTGCGCATGTGCATATTTATTCACTAATACTTTCACACCGAATAATGAGTAATTTCAATTGTAAATAACAGCAAAGCTGAAGAAACTTTAAATGCAATTCCAATATTGCTCATTTTGATAATATCTGTGAAAACGGCTCCAAATGCAAGAAAGAGAACTACAGACTTGCTTTGTTTTTGTTAAAAAGTTAACCAAAAGGATACTTTCCAATCCTTTTCGTCCTTGAGTGTAAAAAACTTTAATTGTTTTCAATTCTACATAATTTTGGCTTTGATACCCATATCGATAGCTTAGAGTGCAGAAGTTGCTAAGTCCATTTTTTTTAATGTTACAGGAGAGGAAAAAAACTTCTTATAGCCATATCCTTCAAGTTTTTCGTAAATCTTTGAATACAAGATTTTGTGTGTTTAAAGCAAAGCAAAACTAGAGGAGCGTATCTATAAATTTTTTTTCTAAGTAACATTAGAACAAAGGACCTATAAACAAGTAATTTTTAGCAAAAAAAACCGACTTAAAAAAAATATATACATATATATCTGTATATTTCACGATCCAATGATCGGATCTAAACCAAATTAGTATGGGACCACCTCTGAGACACTACCTTTCCGTTGCAAATTATTGAAATCGGTTGACGTGGTGCAAAGTTATGCGGTAACATACATAAAAGAAAAAAATAATAAAAAATTAAAAAAAATATTCCGACGAACTGATAACCTCCTCCTTTTTTGGAAGTCGGTTAAAAATAAATGCGGTCTTTTACTAAAAAAAAGTTCATTGCACCCAAGTGATGCTACATATGTAATGTATTTAAGGTGCACCTCAACTTTTTTTGAAATGTTAGTTAGGCTACTCTGGCCTCGTACATAGCACGATGTTTGTTGGGATTATATAGAATGCTCGTTTTATCAGTAGATATGAGGAACGCTGTGAAGTCGAATTATTTTGAAAACTCTTAAATACGGTCCGATTTGGCTAAAATTCCGGGCATCTTTTAGTCATCAAAAATAGGCTGGATCTAGCCAATAGATATATATACATATCGTCGTTTAAAGTACAAAACCGCGTATCGTCATTCTGCATGAAAATCTGGGATTTAGAATTTTTATAACATTTCTGTATTGTCATAAATGTTGTTATTTCTGTTATGAGAAAAAATATGACATTGAAAATATATGCCGAGCCTACTACGCTAGCGATTTCTTGCCAATGAAAGAAGCTTTTCGTAAATTACAAAAATTTTTTCGAAGTCTCAGTATCTCCGACCGCATGCAACAAGCCCTGCGCATTACGCAAAGATGGTGGGACACCAAAGGATTATCCATTAATCCTACTAAATCTATTCTGGTTCCGTTTACCCGGAGGAAAAAGTTATCCATGACAGAATTTACTCTGGGCGGCACTAGAATTGGGCTCTCAAATGAAGCAAAATACCTGGGGGTGTGGCTGGATAAGACACTCACCTGGAACCGTAAACAAGGCAATGAGAGCCTTATTCGCATGTATGCGACTTTATTCAACACAGTTGTGAAGCCGATAGTCACCTATGCATCCTTGGCATGGTGGACAAAAGCGACACAAAGAACTGCTAGTGCAAAACTAAGCAAACTGCACCGAATGGTGTGCATTGGTTTAACAGGGGCTATGCGGACTTGTCCTGCTGATGCACTTAGTGCTCTTGTAGGCATACCGCCCTTCCCAATTCTAATAGTGAGGGAGGCCAGTCTTTCGGCACTAAGAATCCTAAATACTTCCGAGTTAAAAACTANATAAATGTTGTTATTTCTGTTATGAGAAAAAATATGACATTGAAAATATATGCCGAGCCTACTACGCTAGCGATTTCTTGCCAATGAAAGAAGCTTTTCGTAAATTACAAAAATTTTTTCGAAGTCTCAGTATCTCCGACCGCATGCAACAAGCCCTGCGCATTACGCAAAGATGGTGGGACACCAAAGGATTATCCATTAATCCTACTAAATCTATTCTGGTTCCGTTTACCCGGAGGAAAAAGTTATCCATGACAGAATTTACTCTGGGCGGCACTAGAATTGGGCTCTCAAATGAAGCAAAATACCTGGGGGTGTGGCTGGATAAGACACTCACCTGGAACCGTAAACAAGGCAATGAGAGCCTTATTCGCATGTATGCGACTTTATTCAACACAGTTGTGAAGCCGATAGTCACCTATGCATCCTTGGCATGGTGGACAAAAGCGACACAAAGAACTGCTAGTGCAAAACTAAGCAAACTGCACCGAATGGTGTGCATTGGTTTAACAGGGGCTATGCGGACTTGTCCTGCTGATGCACTTAGTGCTCTTGTAGGCATACCGCCCTTCCCAATTCTAATAGTGAGGGAGGCCAGTCTTTCGGCACTAAGAATCCTAAATACTTCCGAGTTAAAAACTAGAAACATGACAGGTCATATGAAGGTCCTTATGAAATTCACAAATGACCCCATAATGCTTATGATGGACGCAGTAGCTTCGGTACTAGTAATTTCTAGGAATTTCAAGGTATCCATTGCGGACCGAGCATCCTGGAGCACAGGAAACCCCTACACCAAACCCGAAGGTGAAGTTTGGTACACCGACGGATCAAAACTTGAAGATGGAAAAACTGGAGCTGGTATATTTGGCCCGAATTTTAAAAGATCGATACCAATGGGCCGCTACCCCACCATTTTCCAAGCAGAGATTCATGCGATCGATATCTGTGGCAGAGAATGCCTCAGAAGAGGCACATCCTCTAAAAACATCTGCATTATGTCGGACAGTCAGGCTGCCTTGCTAGCACTGAGGTCCCACATAATAACATCCAAACTAGTGTACGACTGCCTCAACACCCTAAACGGTCTTGGAAGCAAGAACACAGTATTACTGGGCTGGGTGCCGGGGCATGAGGGCAATGAACAGGCGGGCCGCCTAGCAAAACACGGAGCTACCACACTGATCCATGGCCCGGAACCCTATTGCGGGCTCACCAAAGCCCACTTAAGGGAGGTCATAAAAAAGTGGGTCGACAAAAAATTCGATAGGCACTGGAGTGAATGCCCGGGGCAAAGACAAGCTAAGCGGTTCATCTGTCCATCACAAGAAGCTTCAAAAAAGCTCATAAATCTAGGCAGGGAGGACCTTCGAACTCTCACTTGGTACTTCACGGGACATTGTTGCCTGCGTTATCGCCTCAGTAAAATGAATCTTTCAGACACGAGCGTCTGTCGCTTCTGTGAGATGGACGAAGAAACGCCAGAACATATCCTTTTTGAATGTGTTGCTCTCGCTAGACGCAGACTCGCTGACCTAGGTGGTACAACACTTAATCCATTCGAAATATGGAACAAAAAGTCCACCGAAGTTCAATCTTAAAGTGTGTTTGCATTGTTCAACTTTGCGTTCAACATTTGCGTTCAACTCAGCGCAGGGTTGCACGAAAAAAAAGTTGAATGGCTAAAAATATCAAAATATGAAAAAATATCAAAATATTCGCCATAAAAAGGTGTTTGCATTGTTCAACTTTGCATTCAACTTTTGGTTGAATGGCCTTTCAACTAATCGCTTTCAACAAAGTTGGTCGCCAGCCAACATTTAGCCATTCAACTTTTTTTTCGTGCAACCCTGCGTTGAGTTGAACGCAATTGTTGAACGCAAAGTTGAATAATGCAAACACTGCTTTATATTAAAAGCCTTCACGTATAGGGTAAAGGGCAACGCACAATATACCACCCTAGAGGTCGCAGTGCTCAAGGCTCATAATAATAATAAAAAGGTCTCAGTATAATCTATAAACATGCGTTAGTGCCACTGACACAATTTCAAAATTAACCGACTTGCAGTAAAATAGAATTCAATGTCAAGCATAAACTTATATTTACTTATAAACAAACAGCCCTAAATTACATGTTTACATAAATCTCCTAAATACGTAAATACACACATACACACTTATACATCTACCAGCTTACATAAGTAAATATGTATATTCAGTAGAGAATTTAAGGCTCCATAGTAAGCGGAACTTAGCCTCCAGAAAGTGTAATCAGTCATGACGAGCAGCAAATTACTTCGAATAACTAGTCTAATACAAAGTGTAAATACATACGTAGTTTGTAAAGATGTAGCGAAGTAAATTTACTAGAACAAATTAAACTGTCATGAAAAAAACATTTAACGTAAGTATGTATACATACGTACATATGTGACTGAAATACAATGAGTTGACAAATTATATAAAACTGCAAGCGAAAAAATAAAATATAAGTAGAAGCAAAAAGTTATAATAAACAAATCTCGAAGTCAAAAAATCAACACTAATAAAGTTGTTAATCATTTCTCTGTAAACATAACAGCAACACTGGTAATGACAACATGACTCCTAACATAGCACCAACAGTTGAATGTTGTAGGGATAAATAGATAGTACAGTAAAACCCGCTTAAGTACCTCACGAAAAATGTCAGCTTTTTGAGGTACTTAGGCGGGTTGGGTACTTAAAAGAACCCGCTTAAGTACCTCGATGCGGGTACTTAAGCGAACATAATTATTTATGTAGTTACATCTTTTTGTTAACTTACATAAATATGTAAATCCTTGAATAAAACATAAACATTTAATGAAGTATACGAATTTATTTAAGATTTTTCAATTGAAATACAGTTCATTCCCTAACAAATACCATGTAAACCTAAGCTTCAGATTTTATAGAACACTTAAAGAAAAACAATTTATGAAAGCAGGTTTCACTGTATATCAAAATACACGCACTCGCAAACGTCAACTTAACTCACGTCAACTTTAGCTTTTAACTTAATTTTACCGATGGAATACTACAAAATACAAAATACATATGGGCAAATCTCTGGAACCGTGCGATTCAACGCTAAAAAAACGTAAATTTTTAAATTGAATGCACAAAAATAAATTATACATCAAATTGTTCGAAATCAATTGAGGAAACATTAAATTATTGTGTGATTCATTTTTCTCAAATGCTTAAAGATTTATAAGTGAAAAAACGATAATTTTTGAAAACTCAATGTTACTTCTAGAGTGCGTGGGTATTGTCCGATTTCAAAAATTTTCAAGACAGTATTTAAGGAGGTCAGGCGCAATGTGCATAACAAATTTGGTACAGATTGGTGAAGTGGTTTTCGAGATAAAAATATTTGACATAAGCGGGCGGGTCACGCCCAGTTTCCAAAAAAATTTACGAAAAACTGATTTTTGCTTAAGATCCATTGAAAATATAATTTTTGGGTATATATTCGAAATTACTAAAATAAAAAAAAATTAAATAAATTACAAGAACTCATATAAAAACTAAAATTACATTAATAAAATTCATTTAAAGGTGAGTGACACAAAAGCACACCGTTCCGGAGATTTGCCCATATACGTATGTACATATGTATGTATGTGGATACAAATATAAAACAAATACCTAAGGAGTAATAAAATAAATGCTATATGGGTAAATACCGCCAATATGTCGCCTATAAGAATGAGTACGCTGGTCTTGGAAAAGATTTGCGAAAAATACAGCGAAAAAATGTAAAAGATAATAGAGCACATTACGAGCATTGTATGAAGAAAGGTATGTATATTTCAGCGCGGATGTCTAAAATTCTACATTCGCAACATCCCTAGTATGGATGTATTGGTACATACATTTTTGTATGCATATACTCGTACATACATACATACAAATGTGTACTCATCAAAAACGATTGCCACGAAGTAATTTTGCGAAATTTTGACTTTCTTCAAAGTTGACACGCTGGGAAATGGTGTTTCGTAAGTATTTACGAGTATTTGCTCTCGTAAGCGCAATCACGGCAAAGATTATCTTCAAAGCGTGTATAATATTTATTACAATTATCAGTAGATAAAGGCTTTGTGCAACTTAATTTTATGTCTAATTTTGGATAAGATCGCTTCTTTCGCGTGCTTAATTTACTTGTTGTAGGATTAATTTTCAGAGCTTTCAAGAAATTTTGCTACAAAAAACCTCTGATTGTAAAATTTTAGTGGCCGACCTGTGATTATAATTTTCATAATAATGAGATATTTGCATTTGTCCATATTATTTAAATTAGCAGAAGTTTTAAGTGAAACTAAACAAAAAAAAACATAGATATGATGCTGACAAATGTATAAAGAGTTTAAAAATAGCACACAATAGGATTATTTAATCACAATTTAATTTGTTAGATTATACTAGTCTACAATTGTTTTGGTGTCAAGGAGCTATAATTCCTTTTTAATTTATGACTTTATACTGATTACATACATGTATAGAATAAATTTGAATTTTGACTTGCCATCATGTGACGATCACATCGGCCTGGTTACCTCGCTTCTAGGTGCTGATAAAACCGCTATCCACTTTCATGAACAAATTACATCCTAACACAGCAAGTTCATAAGAAATAAAGAGGACTTTAACTGTTTTGTAAATCGAATTTGTATTTGTATGAAAATGTCACTTTTTAGAACTCTTTAAACCTATTTTATTTTGTATGAATAAGGCCATACGAGAAATTTAGTCATTATATGTTTTTAAGAAAAAATTTGCCAATTTTTGTCAAGCGTCTTAGATTGTGGCATATGCCGATGGTGTTGCGGTTATCGTACAGGGTACATTTTCTCAAACTTTGCGCAACGTCATGGAAGCCGAACTTGCTTCACCACTTAGTTACCTGGACCAAAAAATGTGGGCTCGATGTTAACCCAGCTAAAACTGAGCTAGTCCTTTTTACCATTTATCTCTGCACACCCTAGACTCGCTGAAATGTAAGCGTACTGCCAAGTACATATCTAGGAGTAATTCTAGGCAGTAAGCTGCTCTGGAGTGACAATACAACGGAACGCATTAAGAAACCCACAACAGCGTTCTTCACCTGTAAAAAGGCACAGCACATGTGCGTTCCATTTTTGACTATATCTAGAAAATCATAGGGATGATGGCGCCATTACCAACCCCTACAACTAGGTACTGACTATTGCATACCCTGAAATATCTTCTCCAATAAATATAAAATTCCATACTAACTCGATAGTACTGGAACAACATGTTTACTGATGTCTGCGCACTCGACGGAAAGGTCGGTGGAGGAGTCTTCTCCACAGAACTTAAGCAATGTCATTTCGGCTTCCTAATCATTGTAGTGTATACCAGGCGGAGGTGCTGGCTTTACAGGAGAGACCCAAGGAGAAAAGATAGATATGCATCTTCTCTGACAGTCAAGCAACCCTGAAAGCTTTAGGCTCATAGAATACAAGATCTGAGAGTAACTGCAAAGCTGATGACGCTAGAGACGGTACCATACAACTAGCAAACGAATGCTGATGAAACCTCCCCTTCTGTGAGACCCTTTCTGTGAAACCACTAAGGCTGACAAGGCCCTCTTACGACAAAAAAACACGCAAGTCTGTACTTTGTATTGGTATTAAAACCAAATGAGGTATGCATTCTCTCACGATTTTGAGATTAGGATTGAACGCGCCGGACTACTGTCGAAGCTGAAAAAGCAAAGAAGAAGTGGATAATGTACAGCACCTAATCGGCCAATGCCCAGCACTTAGCAGAATACGACTAAAGAAGCTCAGAAAACCATATCTACAAAACCTTGCGGAGCGAAAACAGCACCACCTTATATGAATTCGCCTTGATGGATGAAAAAAAGTAAACACTAAAAAATGTTTCTTGAGTTATCAATGCGCACCTACATAAGTAATAACAAACCACTATCAATATTCGACCCCAAAAGTTTTTTTTTTTATTGTTGACCTGTGTTATTTTTGCACTTTTTCATATAGTATGTACGTACATTTTATAATAATTTGCATAAAATGAGTTAAGTGAATTTCTAGAGACATTTTCTTACAGCACATTATTTGCAAATAAGTCGCTTTTATACTCACGATTTATTTTGAAGAAAAAAAGGTGAAAAATAAGCTGTATGCATGGTTTTAAAATATAGTACTGGCATATGTATTAGGCGGCTTTAAGTAAATGTTTATGAATATTTTTCTGTTCAAATGGAAAAGTATATAAAATATGCTCTTCAAGGTAAATTTTAAGGGCAAAGCATAGACACATTACAGAGTGCTAATGAAATATAATAGATAACATTTTTCCGCTCAATAATTTAAATGAATAAATGCATGACATGTGTGTACTTATGAGAGAGCACTTTTTCTCATGTACATTTGCTATTTAATTGCAATATATAAATTTCATATACATACATTAGTACCTACATGTGTATATTTAATGCTACATCATCAATAACATTTAATTGTTTTTACGTTTTCCGTTAAAGCATTCTGCGTATTTTGAACTTTCAGAGTCAATCTTCAATGCTGTC